AAACGTGCTGAGCTTTCGTCCATCATATGATGGACATCATCAGAGCTGGGCGTCATTCTTGTAAAAGTCTATCTTACTACTTATATAGACTCAATTAAGCCAAAAGAAAATTAAAAACGTAGATAGATCGATATAGAATGGTTTGGTTAATTATCTGTCATACTGGTCCTGTTACTTTTGCTCGAGTGTATGCGTATGTGTGTGTGTGCGTGTTAGCGTATATATGAAATACCGGTCCGAAATCAGAGTTGTCAAAGGTTTAATCTCAGGTTATGATCCTCAAGACCTAATGACACAAGAGAAAGCATTGACCGAGACTGCGTAAGTCCGTAAACAAGTATGGTTGAGATAATGAGATATGAACTTGTAAGCATGAAAAACAAGTCACGAAGCCACTTGTCCTAACCTTTCAGTCTAGGGTCATTAACGTTTAACCACCCAAGGAAAGGCAAGACTGGGGTTGCGTAATCTGACATGTCTGGCTTGGTTGATGAGCTTACTCTAACATGTTGAACGAATGTGAATGAAATTATAACCATCACCGAGCAGACAAATTGAGTCGCCTTCATTTGGATGGCGGCTCAATACCCTCTCTCTCTTTCAATCTATCAATCAAGCATAAGTAATTCCTACTCAACATTCTACCACCATTCTTCACATTCAACGTATTTCCTAAGCTATTAATTTTAATAGCCTCTCTTATCTTCCTTTTTACAGCAGACGAACGATAATCAGCAAACCTACTAGTTTGAGACCATTCTATTTCATGTCCAGTTTCTACCATGTGTTCGGTCACTTCAGACCGTTGGATCCAGTTTCCTTTACAAGCATTGTTATGTTATCCCAATCTTTGTCGAATAGGTCGGCATGTCTCACCAGCATAACATCGACCACATGGGCAGCCGGATCTCGATAATGGGTCATATTTCTCTCTAAAACATGGCATAACTGAAGAAAGTGTGAGGGTTTCTTTAAACACTGTTTTTATTCCCCACTTTCTTACTAATTCGTCTATCATTTTTGAGAGAAGGCATGACGGCAAAATTAGGACATGGGAAAAGGTTTTAGTCTGCCTATCTTTGACTAAATGGTCTCCATCTGAAAATTTATTCCTCAATAAAGAGATATTATTCTCAATAAGGCCGAATGGATAATTATTTTCCAGGAATATATTTGTCAGCCGTTGTAACTATTTAGCCAAATGTTGAGTAGGAACTACTTATGCTTGATGGATAGATTGAGAAAGAGAGAGGGTGATAAGCCGTCATCAAAAAGAAGGCAACTCAATTTGTCTGCTCGGTGATGGTTCTAATTTCACTCACATTCTTGCAACATGTTAGAGTAAGCTCATCAACCAAACCAGACATGTCAGATTACGCAACCCCAGTCTTGCCTTTCCTTGGGGGGTTAAACATTAATGACCCTTGACTGAAAGGTTAGGACAAGTGGCTTCGTGACTTGATTTTCATGCTTACAATCTCATATCTCATTATCTCAACCATACTTGTTTACGGACTTACGCAGTCTCGGTCAATGCTTTCTCTTGTGTGATTAGGTCTTGAGGATCAGAACCTAAGATTAAACCTTTGACAACTCTGATTTAGGACCGGTGTTTCATATAGACGCTAAAACGCACAAATACACATACGTATACACTCGAGCAAAAGTAACAGTACCAGTATAAAAGATAATTAACCATACCATTCTATATCGATCAACCTACGTCTTTAATTTTCGTTTTAGCTCAATTGAGTCTATATAAGAAACGAGGGAGGAAGTCTTGTGGAGTGTATCAACAGGAATATTGTATAAAAGCCAAACGGCTGCAGTATAACGAGATTTATCCGTCCTCATCTGGAGATCGACCAACAAATCTTTTCTTTATTCACTTTCATACGAAATGAAAGTCCTCCTAACAATGTTATCTCAAGAGATTAATCGAAACCCAGTTTCGCATCGTGGCTCGATGTTGTTGCAAAAATTGTTCTTGTCCATTAAGGCTTAGCACACTTCTCATATATACATAAATTAGCCCCTTTACAAAAACTAGCGCTGTAAATAAGAGTAATTTTCATAAATACAGCGGCTCTAACAAAAAAAACTATGGTTACTAACTTGTTGGGTAAGCTGAGCTGGGAGCGCTGTCAGGGCGATTGCACTCGGCTGTATGTAGACAGGCCGTGGCGGACTCGCCAAAGCGGCACTGGCTGTCTTTGCGGTTAGCCCAGCCGAAGCCAAATCGCTGTGATTTAGTTGAGTGGCATAGGCGGCTGCCACATGTAGAACATGCTGTGTCTGTGGGGGAGGCTGTGTGCTGCCACTGGATAGCTGTCCGGTCGGATCGAAAGAGGCTTCACCAGAGAGACAAACCTCACTGGAAGGCAGAAGGTTCGAACGCTCCGAGAGTCTGGTAGTTGGGTGGTGAGTCAGAAGACCAGTCAACGGATCAAGCAAGGCATAGGTTGTTTGAACGGCCGCCGTAGGAGTGTTGGCTGTCGCTAGGACAGTAACAGCCGGCTCACTGCAGCAGGTCTTGATGGGCATACCAGCCGGGTAGACCAGAGGGCCGTTGATGATAGTACCGCAGCTCCCACTAAAGTAGCTGCCAGTACCAATCCTGTTTACAGACCGTGGACGGCCAGGCTTTCGTCCACGTTTACCATGGCCGACAACCCGTGCGCGCCGAACAGAGTTAAGCAAGACGGGTTTAATGGATACAGGAATCTCGAGAGGGCCAGATGGGAAGAGAGAAGGTTTTGGCTGATAAGAGAGGAAGACGAAATTAAGGAAAATAATGAAAGAACCAACAACCAGCGGATAGCAGATGAAGGTCGGAAGGGATGAAATCACATATAGGAAGGGAATATAATAGAGGAAATTAAAGAATTTGAAGATATGAATGGAAGGAAGGGCAGGGGAGAGAGAAAGAGAAGAGTGAAATTGAGAGTAGGGAACAGAGGAAATGGAAGAAAGTATGAAGTATCGTGAATATTAAATCAGAGGGATAGTAAAATATATGAGCTAAAAGCTTGGAGAATACGAGATCAAAATTAATGTGAAATACTTTAGAATATACAGACTTACTAGAATCTGGCGAAATTGTATAGACGAGATTGGTACAACTGGGACGTTGTTAGCTACATATAAATAAACATTAAAAAAGAAAAGTAAAGCTCCATATGAGTAAGATGGGTTAAGTATGAAAGAATTATTTTGATTAATTATGAAGTAATCTTGCATATAAATGTATATGGATAGTGAATCAAGCTAAGTAGATTGAGGTGAAGGTCGAATAAATGAGCTCTCCTCCCAAGAGAAATAATTTTTGTGTTTAAAATGGGTTGACAGCTGATAGTGATGTCGCAGTATCGAGACCGCATCAAATCAGTAAACTGTGGTTTAATCTATTGGGAGCAAATTTGCTCCATTTCGGCTTATTGTAAATAGGTTTTAAACTAAAACACTAGCTATGGCTTGTGATTTATTAGGTAGATTTCAATGGGTTTACAAGTCAAACCCTAGATGAAATGCAATTGTGAATTTAAGAATAAGAGTTAGAGACTTTGCCAAATTTAGTAACTGATCGCAAAGAATAAAGGACATTAACGACTTAAGTGTTTAAATATTACTTTAAAGTGGATTTTTATCGGGGGACGGCCATCCGTGTAAAAACAATATATATAATTAATAATATCCCATATCTTTGCATTCAGGGATAAAATATCTACTTTTGTGGCAAATCGACCATATATATGTGGTTTGTACCTGAAACGAACAATAAATTACGCAGCGAATGCAAATGGAAAAGGCAATTCGACATTTCAGAAAGAAAGTGTGTGTTTATTAATAGGTAGGACGTAAGCAAGATCAAATAACCAATGCTAGGCACTCGCTCATATAAGTTGGTATTTTTGCATGAGTTTATATATGCGACATAAGAATACAGTTAAGAGCAGCATAGTTATCGAAATAACATAGAACTGGTGAGACTGGAGGGATATGGTAGGTAGAGTGAAGCTCTGGTAATTTGGCACAAAAAGCGGCTTTGATCTTAAAGTGGTAAATGTTTTGGCTGAAAAGATGTCAATAATATACCAAATAATGGCAGAATAAAACGGAAAGAAGGCGAAGAAGTTGGAAGCTCAACAAAGAAAAAGAAAGAAATCAAGGGTTCCGGGTATATCCGCTACATGCAAACTTTAGTAAAAACACAACCTAGCCTCAGCTGAAAGCTAATCTAAAAAGAACTTTTCTTAGTTAAGTTAAATTGCGGTTCACATGAGATTCCATAAATTAAGTAGCCCTGTTCTAGATTATAATAATTATTTTTTAAAATACGGTATTAAGGCTTAATAAAAAAAGCCTTCTCTAATGGATTGGGACGAATCATTTATTGTAGTCTCAAGTAATATAGAAAATTTGCTTTAAATGGACTATGTGCAAAATGAAGCTGACATAAAGTCAAAAAATTGACAGAGCAAGATGAAGTTCACTTGAGAGAAAATGGAATCGAAGAAATAATTGGAAGCAAATAAAAATGGAATGCATGCACTGGATTCAAATCTATTTATTGACATAAATTCTAAGACCATCCCGGATACAAAAAAATCCGAATTAAAAAGGTAGTCAGAATTCCGCCGATACAATCTGATAAAGAAATGAAAATAAGGACAAAGATATTGAAGAATAAAAAGAAATTCTAGAAACTAGAATATATTGAGGCTTAATTACCACCGATCGACATTTCTCGAATATTTGTCAATAATCTATCCTTAAGAACTATAAACATATTTATGCAAACACAATAACAAAATTAAAATCAAAGGACAACGAGTCATTCACTTACGTTTTTGCGACTTGCTGCATTTCGAAGAACTATCAATCTTACGCTTCCGGACTCCTGAAAATAAACGCTTTGCTTGTTCGGTT